TTGAATTTTTCAGACGGCCGTAATGAAAAATATTTATATTAACATACTGTAATATTTTGACGTATTCTTATTCAGCTGATGCCGTAGATTAGATGTATGCTTGTCCTCTTCGTCAGAATAGCCCCGTCTTTTCGGTGTTGAAATGTTTGTATGAACGATTTTTTCATAGGCCGAGGTTTGTTGATTGTCTGAAGAAGGCTTGTGCTTGAGATCCTGAGTCTACATTGAAGTTGATGAATGTAGATCTGTTTATTGCAGTTGCATAAATCATAAGTCATGTTCCACTGACAATATATCACAGGTTAATTTCATACAATGAAGTTGTCAGTGATTCATCCGATCGAAGCATCTGGTCGGAATTGAGCATATTTGTTTGAAATTTTTAGGATGTCGAGGAAGTTGTAACTGAAGACGTGGTGCAAAATGCATCGCAAAATGAACCAACGGAAACAGCATCGCCAGAAACTAAGAAAAGTATGTCTTTAGAAGTTTTTTAAATGCAGGATTCGATTTTGAAACGTTCACAAAAAATAAATTTCATGTGATGAGTGAAAGTTGAAGAAAGTTCAATCGTCCGAACTGAGCAATATTAATATTTGAGAGTCGGTGTATCTGCCATATAACAAGGCCGAATGGTCACCGTTGTATCTGTATCGACCGTTTGCGGATCTGACGGCAGCTTGCATCCGTCAATCGGGCTCTGAGGGTGTCGGGCGAGTCGAGGTGGGTCGTTCGTACGGTATCGACACAACCTTGAAAGCCGGCAATCGACGTGTCTCACAGTGGATCATGAATACACTCAAGGCTTTTCCGGACTATTTTGGGCAATACCAAAAGATGGACGGTAAATGCAGATCAATCAAGTGAGTGAATCGAAAGGAATTGATTAAAAATCAGTTATCTTTCGCGATGATATTATTATCACAGAGGATATTAATTAAGCTTGCCTAAAGTATCGCAATGAAGATGAGGTCTTGAATATGAAACTTGGACGTTGATTTATGTATTACAGATACTTTTGGAAAGTTGATGCCCAACCAGAACGTTTCATCTCTTTGTATAAGGAATGGCAGAAGATAACCGACGTTCCGTGCCCATTCAAAATGGGACAAGTTATCAAATTCCCGAAAGCGAATCTCAGTTAGTGATTTATTTCGTCGTAAATGCGTTGTTTCTTCGTGTGATTATAGTAATAACACTGAAGAGGGTTTCATTTGAATATTGGAAGTTATTATGAAGAATTTTATGGTATCATTATCACTAGTGTATTATTTTGTGTAGCAGTAATTAATATCACTACTGATATTAATATTATCATCCTGTTTATGTTACATATGAGTTAATGATGTTAGCATTATTATCATTGTTATTATTGTTATCGCATTTCTCAAGAATAAATTTATGAGAGAATGAATGAAATCTGCATGATTTTGCAGACTAAGAGCGCATAATTTTCAGATACACTTCGCATCAGTGATGTTTCACTGCGTCGTCTGATTGATATGTTGCGTTTGGTGAAAGAAAACGTCGTCTATGTGACAGTGCATCGATTTTTAAAGCATGTCACTGAATTGGAGCAACAGCACGGCTACAACTATAAAATCGACAAGAAATCAGTGATGAAATGCTTGTATGCGCTTCAGAAAGCTGGTTTAGTACGGCTCTATGAACGTATCGTTGTCGAGGATTACATTTCGAGTCCAGTAAGTTCGAGTGATCATATTCATCTTTTGGAGAAGTTCCGGTTTTGTGATTAAAATTTCGAAGTTTGCCTTATTTCGTCGGATCAGTAGATATTTGCGGTGTTTTATCTTCGTACGATTAGCTTAAATGAAGATGAGTGTGGTATGAGTGATCCCCCTTATATGTCTTTGTTTGAGTAGAAATTCTTTCGAAAAACTCAAATGTGTATAGTTTGAAGTTAGGAGTTAACATTGCTGAGATTTTGAATTCTGTTTGATTATCTGATTGTGTAAAAAACGCACGTTCAAGGTGGAAAACATGAATTTTGAAAGTGAATAAATGAGGAAAT